TTGGAAACCATATAAATGTTTAATCATCTCCACATATTACATACATAGCGCACAAAAAATTGATGGATAACTAGTTTTAAAATCAGAAGTAAATAATAATGACTGTTATTGTGGATTACATATGACAATTTGAAATTTTGGTTCAGACTTTAGCAAGCATCATGGAACTTGACATGCTTGATTTGCTTTCGCGGGCCACATAAAAAGATGCGGCTGGCCAGATCTGGCCCCCGGGCCTTGACTTGAACAATGTATATTTGAACGCAAACACTGCAGCAACACGCGTAGAAAGACATTATAGTAACACTCACAGTCAGAGGAACATATTTTTTATACTCGGTGAAAAACGATCATCATTACTGCTACTTACTGGCTTACTTAGAGTTGTGAAACTGTCATTCGGTCTTTATTTGATTACCCCTCAGTGGCCAAGTTGCTCACAGCAGAGGTAGCAGCAATTAATTTATCATTGTGCACAAAAATTTTATTTCTTTACACTGTATCTAATTGTGCTAACAATTGTACTCGTTTTTATGAAACACAAAAAATAGAGTGCTATTTTTCCTATTGAAAAAAAAAATCAACATTACTATTTTTTTTTTAATTGGGCTTTTTGATGAGGGTCATCTGCCAGAAAGTGAAACCTAAATTATAATCCAGAACATGCAAAATGGACTTCAATATTTGCGTTGTACTCACCTACCCTCTCTTCCAGAGTCAGAGCACTTCTTGTCTTAGTTGCTTGACATCCAAAGGTCCGTTTTGTAGCCATTTTAGCAATACAACGTTCTTGCTGCGTCTGAGACTAACAATAACAAATACTTCCTGGACTACTGCGCACGTGTAAACCAGTGTGGTGGTTGCTTCGTTGTAGTGAATCTCGTCGCGAGGCAAGAGCAGAGAAAAAGATTTCGTAGAACGCAACAGGGTTTTTTTTCCGTTGTATGGGGAGCAGGAAAGTGGGAATAGTGTTCATGCATGAAGATTTTTTCACACTAGGGGGTATTTTCGCCCATGTAGGTTTCGTTGTAGAGGAGTTTCACTGCACTGATATGAAAAACTGCTTAGTTAACCTCGTCCATCGTAAAATCCACAGTGCAAATTGTCCAGTCGGGACCAACTTTTTGAAAAATGTTGATTATCCGTGAGTGTGCCAAGTTGTCGGTAGTAAATATAAATGGGATACAATAAGAGTGAGGGTTCCATCTTTAATTTGTGTGTCAGCATTTTCACCCAGAGATTGATCTCACAGTGACTCAGCAATCAGTGTGGTTTATATCCTCTTCTTCTGCATCACTGTTCTTGTTTATATTATATTTTTATGAAGGAAGACCAAGTTAGTATTGACAAAAGAGAGTGCAAGTCCAACAGACCGTCACACTAGTGCATTGTCATGAAAACAGGACATAAAGTAGCAGTGAATGCACCACTTCCGGGACTGAATTGGACTCTCAAATAAAGCATCCTATGGGAGCCGTGACCCTTCAAACTGTCGCACCACAGTTGTCAATGTGGGAAAGAAACTCTGTTGTGCTTTAAGAAACTTACTCCACGAGCACAGAAGAGGCCGATGACTTTTATTGCGCAGGCAGTAGGAGTGGAAGTGAGTTGTTAATTGATTTTATTTTTTTCAACCAGTAATCCTGCCACAGGCACAACCCACAAGCAATTAGCCAGACAGCTCCACCTTGACGTGCGCAAAATAATATTGAGTGGGTGGAGGAGGATGTGTGTTAGTCATGTGGGGAGTGGAATGCGGATGCCTGGGTAGTACATTTTAAAGTGGATATTCTGTGGAAATCTGACTTTTTAATTGCTTGTACACTAGTAGTTGGGGCTCTGGGCCCCCTGGCCACCCATTAAGTGTGAAATTAAGCAACGTAGGTAAATGTTTTGTTGTCTGTCTGTTATTGAAAATCTGTTTGTGAGCGAGCTGTTCCAATTTGTGATGTCACTATGAGGCAGATTTACATAATTAGCATCCCGATACTGAGTTTTTCAACGCATGCTCAGTCAAATTGTTGATGGTGACTCACTGCGACTTATTGATTGATTGAATGATATAATGCCTGAACCGCGGAGCACAAAACAGAAGAATAGTCCCATCTCTACTGAAGTGATAGGATGCCAGCAAAGGGAGAGGTCATGAAAATGAGACGCAGATAATCAGGAAGTTTTCATGTGTGCGCACGAGTTGTCTGAGTCTGTATCTCTCTGTCGCTTCTTGCTGCTTGAGGCTGCCGGACGCCCACGTAGCGTGATAGACGGGCTAACTTTGCTCATTAGTCAACATGAAGAACTTTAACGACAACACCACTGAAATACATTCAATAGATAAACATTGAAATAAATGCAAACATAAGTAAAATTCTAACTGATCATGTTTTCGCACACTTAAGTATGTTTAATGCCGCAAAATGACTTGATGCTTTTCGGTGAAGATATTTTTCCTCAAGTATTGCTCTCACATACTTTATACAAGACAACAAGTAATCCATTAGAGCAGTTTAGAGATGGTGATTGGACAAATTCCCCCTGAACTGTCATCAGTCTTTCTGTTATTCATTTTCTCAAACCATCTTTGTGAGCTGTTGTTCAAAAGATGGGCTGGTTGTGATTGAGGTGTTTTCTGGAATTCAAATGGCTTTTGACCCAAAAGTTCCGCTAATCGAAACACAAATTAACACATTCACCCACAGCAGAGCGAAGAGGCAGCACGAGTGAATGTTGACGATGTAGCTAAACAAGTATGCATACGATGACCATTCGTCCATATACATGTAAAAGTTACACAGTGAAGTTATTATACTTACACCAACTGACGCATATACAGTATACACGCTGTAAGTACCAGTAGTTACCTTGCAGTATCCATCCATCCATTTTCCGATCCGTTTATCCTCACAAGGGTTGCGGGGGGTGCTGGGGCCTATCCCAGCTGTCTTCGGGCAGTAGGCAGAGGACACCCTGAACCGGCTGCCAGCCAATCGCAGGGCACACAGAGACGAACAACCATCCACGCTCACACTCACACCCAGGGACAATTTGGAGTGTTCAAACAGCCTGCCATGCATGTTTTTGGAATGTGGGAGGAAACCGGAGTACCCGGAGAAAACCCACGCAGGCCCGGGGAGAACATGCAAACTCCACAAAGGGAGGCCGGAGCTGGAATTGGTACCTCTGCACGGTGAGGTCGACCTGCTAACCACTGGATCACCGGGCCGCAGCTTGCAGTATATCCTGTAATAATATTACCTGACATAACTGGTAAAGGTGGCACGGTGGTCGACTGGCTAGCACATCAACACATCGGCCTCACAGGGTTCGATTCCGGCTCCGACGTTCCTGTATGGAGATTGGATGTTCTCCCCATGTCAATGTGGGTTTTCTCCAGGAACTGAACACTCTAAATTGTCCCGATTGTGAGTGTGAGTGGTTGTTTGTCTTTATGTGACCTGCGATTGCCTGGTGACCAGTCTGGGGTGTACACTGCTTGTTAACCAAAGTAAGCTGAGAGAGGCTTCAGAACACCTTCAATCCTAGTAAGGGGTACTGAAATGGATCGATGGGTGGATATGTGAATTGAAAAGTAGCCAATTAAAAAGAAGGCATTTGCATGTACAGTACTGCATTTTGCATATAAGTGGGTCTGACATTTTGTTTTCGACCACTGTATGTGAGTCCAAATGGATATTTTCTAGTACAACACTGCTCAATTTTAATGTTTTTTTTTTTAGAACCCGCATAGTTTACAATTATATCCAACATATGATGGCAGTCGTGAGCTAACTTCATAAGGACACATTGATTCTGAAAGCTTACTTCGTGGTTGCTGTTTGCGAGCATTTGCAAGGAGAAATATAAACGGAAAAACTAAAAGGGCACATTTCATCTATTTTTGCAATCCAGCTGTGAATAGTCTTAAGATAGAATAAGCTTGCATAAAAAATGAGACAACCAGGTCATTGGGGGATAGCCGGCGCTCACATCAAAAGCAGCGAGGAGGCGAATTTATGAATGAAAGTGTAAGCGACTCACAGTGATCCGTAACAGACAAGACTTGACAAGATGCCAGAAATAGAGGCCACGGTGTGTGAGTGCTTACAAGTTAAGGTCTGTCTCTCTCTTTCTTCTTTCACGCTCTCACACACACACACACACACACACACACACACACACACACACACACACACACACGCACACACACACACACACACATGCACACACAGACTGCAGTCTGCAGCGCTCCATCAATTCCCCCAACCCATCTGGTTCTTTGGTGGAGTCGGGACATGAGTCATCGCTGGACTTTTAACTGTGTCTGTCCCACACTGTTGCAGCAGAGCTTCAGCATATGTCAATGGCAACAGCAATTAGTATAAAAAATAAACATGAAGAGAAGCACTGAGAGGTCACCAACCTCTGCCAAGGCGTAAAACAGTCAAGTTAAAAGTTTCATCCAAAATCCCAGTTGCATTGTAGAGGTATGAAAATATTATAACATCCAACATAAAGCTAATGACTTCTAGTCTTATCTGATAAACTTGACAAGGATGTAAGGCGTCCGATCATGTTCACTATTTATAAAAGCAAGGAACCATTTATAACATAAGTGACTGTTCAAAATGGATGTAGCATTAGATGACTACAGTACATTTTAAAAAGCCACAAAGTAATCTTGGTTCTGTAATCCATTGAGGGATTTCTTTTGAGGCTTCTATCTTTTTCCACATGCTTCAAAATGTGTCAGAATGACAAATTTGACCCGACGTGATGGCTTCTGACATGGTACACAAATATTGTTGGATAATATTTATCCCACGGTCGTTTAAAACAATATAAATGTTTTTAGTCGTGGCCCTAAATTCAAAATTAGAAGCAATTTGATTTTGCAGACTTGAAAAAAATCCTGCGTGTGTGACTATGCGCCTGTGCCTCCAGCGCTCTCTGACGTACGAGTCACGTGCTCCGTGTGTCTCATTGTATGTGGAGCTGTCCGCGGTGCTGAGCGCACACTCACGCTGAGGACAGAGATGCTCACACCGCTCAACAACACAGTCCACGCAAACTAAGTCCAAAAAGGTAAGGTAATTTCTTCTTCAGTCGTGACACCACTGAGCCCACACATATTCCCCATCTCAGGAAGAATGTGAGACTTTGTGTGTTTTTAATTATTTTCTATTTTCAGCCTTTTTTGCTGGGCAGCTGTTCAGCAACCTGATGCTCTGATGTTGTTGTCTTTGTTGGCACGCGTGCATGTCTCGTTCAATTATTTCCTTTTTATCATCGCTCCTTTTGGTCGTTGTTCACCGCTTTTTCTGTGCTTGCGAGTTCGCAATTTACACCAGAAGAGCTGTTAAAGACTTCATCAGATTTAGGAACCAGTAAAAAATGTAAACATAAAATGTCATGACTGGTTGCCCGTTCGAAACAGGTTGTTGTGAAAAGCACCATTTAATGTCTTTCTGAAGCTGACGCTTCTCAAAGAGGGACATTTCCTACAGACCCAGCATTACTTATTCAAATTGCTGTGTGCTGGTAATAGTGAGTGATGATTGCCGTTTAAAAGGGTTTGCGCATAAATGTGGCTTTTGCGGGAACATTAGTCTTATCGGATTGCCTTGACAACGGGGCCGTGACTCACGGTGAGCATCAATTTACCGACTAATGAGATTTGTAGAGGGAGCTGAATGCTGCTATGCTGCTGCAGGATGTGATCCTCAGATAAGAAGCAACAGGCGGCATCGATAGCATCACAGTGGCGCTAACCAATCCTAATCATACTTACAAATTATTATTCTCAAGCAGCACACGGAAAAAATAGATGAATAAATACACCAAATATTCTTAGACATTCAAATGCAATTTTTCTGCTCATATTTTCGTGACGAACATTGACTGCCAAACATAATGGAGAGGTTGTTGCATCAGATCACTTGTCAGATCAGTATAACATCTGCATATTCTGTTACTTGGACAAAAGCTGCATCAAATGTTTTCATTTTCCAAATACATTCATACTCAATAGAACCATTTTCGGGTCTGATTAATGCTACTGCAGTTATTAATATGATAGTTATTCATTTTAATGAACGGCTTGAATGAATCATGATGAATAGCTTACTGTGCTTGTAGTTTAGTATTGGTAAATTACACTGCATCATACTGAGATATTTACTGAGGAAGTTCAATATTTTGGTTAACCTATTTAGCAACAAGAGAAGATCAGCACAGGGACAAGGTACATTTTCCACCCATCTATTTATCATAGTGTGTTCTTTTCCGGCCAAGGACCTGTAGCATGTGTAGGTTGAATATTAGCTTTTTACGCTCCAGTGTATACATATCTGTACAGTAAAATGACGGGTATTTGGTGAAGGCTGGTTCATAGCTACACAAGTTAGCTAACCACGTTTTGACAAACAGTAAGGGTTGGATTTTTTTGGACAGCACATCTGTGCCATGGCGCAAAAACCAGAGCATCCTCTGTGGCGAGGGGTTAGTCTCCAAGTTCACAGCACGAATGTGCTTCCTCCATGTCAAGAATCTAGTGCACGGCTAGCACGCTGCATTTAAAGGGAATGAAAGGAGCCGCTTTAATTGGCCATAGTTGAAATAGGCTGTGACCACTCCCACAGCGGTGCAGACCTCCCACTCAGATTCGCCAGCCTATGCCGTCTCCATGCAGATTTTGGCCAAAAATCGCAACATTTGAGCTCTAAAAGTGATTTTGAGGCCATACGTGACTGATTTGTGCATCTTGAACTCTCTTCTGTAGGTTTCACGATGCTGCCATTCCTCTGCAATACCACTAGAGGCAAACCTTCCCTCCTCTATTTAGCTCAGCTTCTCTTTCTCACTCTGTGTCTTCGCTCCATTCTCGGGGCTACTCTCCGAGAGCATCGACTGCGGGAGAGTGAATCCGACGCGCCCCAGTCACCTAATGCTGACATGATCAAAGCCTTGGAGTACATTGAAAGCCTTCGTCAGAAAACAGATTCGCCGCAGAAGCCGCTTCTCCCCACAGGGAACTCCGGTAAGCACTTGGACGATGCTCAGAGGGCGCGCGCCATGCTGAGCCTGGCTCCCAACACGGCACCTGCTAAAAATGCCGAAGAAGACGATGCGGATGAGGAGAGAAGCGAGGATAAGAGCGAGGAGCTGCTCCAGGCCGTACTCAGCACTCTACAGCAAACCGAAAAGGCCTCCAAGCCCACTCTGCTTCTTCCTTCCTCATTCGGCGGTGGTGACATGAAGGGTAGCTTGTACCCCAAGGTGCCGAAGCAACAGGGCATTATGCCTCACAAGAAGATGCCCATAATGTTTGAGGATGATGAAGAAGGTGAGGGCGATGAAGAGGATGAGGAGGACGATCACGAGAGTCCCTACAAACGCACCAACGAGAACGTCGAGGAGAAGTACACTCCTCAAAACCTTGCAACATTGCAATCAGTCTTTGACGAACTGGACAAGTTTACCAGCGAGACAAACACGCAAAAACGACAAGATGAAGAGGATGACACAGAGGAAGAGGAGGAAGGAGGGGAAGATCTGTTCAATCTGAGAAACGTTGTATACGACGATGAAGGTGAGGACCTTACAGACTGGGGTCCGCTGGAAGAGCAAAACGAGGAGGAGGAAGACAAACACTCGGCGGACCGGAATCTCGATTATGTTGATGATGATGAAGAGGTGGATGAGGATGAGAATGAAAGGTATCTGGTTAGAAGGTCAAATGATCCAGACCAGGTCGATTACTACCTTCTTAAGATGCTGGAAAGAACAGAAGAGGAGGAGCAGAAGCGAGCGATAGAAGAAGAGGAGAACGAGAGGGTTGAGAGGCGAGTAGATCGGTACAGAGATAACATTGACCCACGTCTTATCTATCAGCTCATTCAAATCTCCCAGAAATACCAAATTCCGCCTGAGGATCTCCTGGATATGCTCAAGACAGGAGAAACGCATGAGAACAGAGACAAAAACGCAATCTGGAAAACGCCCTCGAAGATGATGTACAAGATTCCACAAACTAAATTCTACAGCAGACGCCTTCCTGCCAGAAAGAGCAGCCCCAAAAACCTGCAGAGGGAAGCCATCCTCAACATCCTGGGCTTGGGCAACACGCAGAACCGAGAGCAAACTCCCGCCAGGAAGCCATACAGAAGCCCTGCGTCACGACTTCACGCTCTGTCAGTGGGGCGCACGGGGGACTCCGCTCGCACGCATCGACGTTTCTTTCCCAGCAAAGCAAAGGACTCTGACAACCCGACAGACGGCGAGCTGGCGACCTATCTGGCGGCTAAGATGCTGGCGCGCTATCCCGGCCACGGCTACGGCAAGGCCAGCCAAAAGCGGGATGAGGCGGGGCAGAGCGCGGCAGGCTCGTTTGAACAGGCCATGCAGGAGTATTTGGATCAAATGGACTCAGATAAAGAGCTGAATAAAAAGAGACAGTCTGAGGACGGCGAGAGAGGCGACAACACACAAAGCTTTGATAATGAAGCGGTGATGAAACTGATGAGTTACTTCAACCCGGAAACTGAGGACACTGAGAGTCAAGTCAAAGCGATCGATGGTATTTAAATCAAGACAAAAAATATAAGTATATATATACTTTTATATATATTTTATTTTATATATATAAAAGTATATATATAGTATACAGGTGCATCTCGATAAATTAGAATATTGTTCACAAGTTATTTTTTCGCATCAGTTCAATTCAACAAGTGAAACTCATGCATCGTACAAATAGGACCCATAAAAACAATTCTTACAAGGCCAAGTTCTCCCAAATTTAAAAAAATATATATATATGCAGGCCTATATTGAATTTTTTTTGAGATGGTGCATTTTGGGTTTTTACTGTCAGCTGCTTATAATCATCAACGATTATCCTGAAATATTTCACTGTCTGTCGTGAATTTATATACATGGAATGAGCTACTGCATTGATTAGTTTTCCACAAGATTCAAATTTATTGAGATGTACCTGAATTACCATGTAAATATTGTGCTGGTGGAGGTGGACAGAGACAAAAACTAAGTATTTTCAAATATTTAAAAAAAAAAAAAAATGCAGTCAACCGTGGTTCTTCTGTAGGTTTACTGAATGTCTTATTTATTAGCAGATATATGGGTGTTCTGACAACAATTGGAGTCAGTTGCTCCACATCCCATACATGTGACTCACCAGCACACACACACACACACACACACACACACACACACACACACACACACACACACACACACACACACACACACACACATTAGTGTTGGACCCCCTCGATTCACTTGTGTTTGTTGGTAATTCTTTCTTAAACGTGGTCATATGTGACATACTTGAGGTTAATAAAGCATTGACTTTATTTTTTCCTTCCTGAGTCCTGTTCTTTTTTCTCTCATTGGCAATATTTTATTATTATTTTTTAATCACCAAACAATAAACAGCTTTTGAGAACATATTTATTTGGAGAAGATGATGTGTAATGTTGTTAGATTGCAAATAAATTCTCAGACACTGGCACAATACACTGGAATGAATTCATTTATGACTTGGAAAGCACTTCTGAATACAATGCATTGTATTGCTTCTCGAAGACACACTCAAAATCAAAGCATAAGGTCCCTCTGCATATAAAAATAAGTCAACCAGTATTGTTTTAACAACCCATTGATCTATTTTCCACACTGCTGACCCGATCAGAATTGTGGCTGATTTGGAACCTCCCTCAGCTGAACAAACCAGCAAATCAAAAGACATATAAACAACCATTCACACATACTTCCACAACTGTGAGACTGTTTAATGAACCTAAGAAGGAAGCAGGACTGCATGAGAGCATGAAAACTCAACATTGAAAGGCCCAGCAGATTCAAAGCCAGAACCTCTGAAGTCTGAGGCAGGATTTTAAACCACCTGCCTACAATGCTGCCCATCTGTTTAACGTTATGTTGATGAATGTAGATCTACTTGGCAGTAGTGCAAAGCGAGGATACCATTCTGAGAGGTTTTTTTTAATCATATTTTGTTCCTCTCAAGAAACAAAGGAATACAAATACATTTTGTGAAGACATTGATATTTCTTTATTTGTTCCCTAGAAAACAAACATTCTTGATTCGGCTGCATTTTAAAACTAAATTGGACACATTGCAATGAGCATACATGCAGATATTAAAAAAAAGGCCAATTTACAGCAGCACTCTTTGCAGTTTATGACAAAGTGAAAATATTGCACAGATTTAAAACTTCTGGTTTAAGTCCTGAGATGTGAAAAGTCACTTTCTTATTCTGGATTAATAAGAAGGTTTGTTCATATATTCCTCCATTGTCTGCAATCACATATAAACACACAAAAAAAAAAATGTTACACTGAAGGTTCACATGAGTCACTTCTCTCCAAGCCTACGTTCACGAGGGTGTGTGAAAGCCTCTTGTACCTCTTGAAGTGCGTCGGCCTCCTGTAGAGAAACACCCACGGCCGCTTTGGAGGTTTCGAGCACTTCTCCCCCCATCAAGAATTCATCCAAGATGAAATACGCCTTTTCAAAGTTGAAAATAATGTCCAGCTCACACACCTGATGATGAGCCGAAAAATAACAATGTACCATACACTGGACTATAAGTGTTTTAGAACTCAACTGTGAAGACACACAAAAACACACACACACACACACACAC